CGGATCTCCTTACTTTCCGCCGCGCCCTCAAGACATGGCTTTTCCAGCAAGCGGGCCTGACCTAGGGAGGATTTTAGGTAGGGATTTTAGGTAGGGACGTTTTTAAAAAAGTAATTTTAATGGGAACACAGCAATCAATATTTGGCTTTTAATTAGGTTTTAGTGGGGTTATTTTGTGTATTTTTGTATGATTTTTTTTTTGTATCCTGTATATTGTATTTGTGTTTTTAATATGCTGTGAACCGCCCTGAGTCCTACGGGAGAAGGGTGGTATACAAATTAAATTAACCAACCATAACCATAACCAACCATTTCTGATGGTTTGTCTAGATCCATCTGGGCAACCTGCAGCTCTTGGTAGCTGAGGCACCCTTTGCCTACTTTCCAAGTCCCCTCACCCTTTCAGAGAGCATCCCCTGCCCTTTCTGAATTCAGAATTCTGCTCTCCGTTCCTTTCCCAACAGCTGTTGCTTAGAAGATAGATGTGATCGTCAGAAAGTGAGAAAGACGAAAAACAGGAGGTCAGAATTAAGGAAAATAAGATAATGTTCCCCATTCATGTTTGGCTCCAATTCTTCTTACTGCTAGTTTCAGCTAACATGCAATCTTTATTATTCTGTCTCCAACAGAGAGTGACCAAACGTCTTTGGCAGCCTCATATCAATGGCAGCCCTGCCCCCCCCGCCTGTTCCTCCCCCCATGTACTACATGCCCACGTACCACAGACACATTCAAGGATCCCATCCTCCTGATCTCATTGAAATGGCAAAACCCAGGCTGTGTGGTGCAATACTTAGTTCCCGTAACTATGTTGGGTCCGGTGGACGATATGATATCAACAAGTGCCTTCGCCCAGGCTGATGTGCTGACCAGCCACAGGAAAGAAATGATGACTGTAATGATGAAGTCCTGGAGAAGGAAGAAAAATAAGAGGCTTTAGCAGAAATGATCAAGTAGATCAACTCTATCATTCTAACATTGAATATATCATAACTATGGGATCCACCAAAAGCTTATTGACCAAGGAATGGCCCAAACTTTCTGAACTTCAAATTTGAGCAGGTGGGCATGCTAGCAATATCTATTACAGGTCCTGCCTTGTTGATCAGGAGGTATTTTTGATCTACAGAAAAGATGTCACACTCACCACAGCTCCTGGAATCCGGCGGCAAGAGAAAGAGG